TTGCCCACTGCATCGGACCGAAGTCCGGAAACTGCATCGGACCGAAGTCCGGAACTAACCAGGGCCTTGCCCTCTGCATCGGACCGAAGTCCGGAAAAACCAGGGCTTGCCCTCTGCATCGGACCGAAGTCGGGAAACTGCATCGGACCGAAGTCCGGAACTAACCAGGGTTTGCCCTTACATCGGACCGAAGTCCGGAAACTGACTGAACATAGCATAGCATAATCATAACTACTAGCATAAACACATATACTGCATACTGCATCGGACCGAAGTCCGGAACACATAACACAAAGACATGCTTGAATCACAAAGACATCAAGCACACTGAACTACTGCATCAGACCGAAGTCCGGAACTACTGCTAACTAAACGGGCCGGCATTGTGGCCGTAGACCCGTTCCTACTGGAAGGAAACTCACCTCGTAACGCTGGCTGCTGAGGTGCTAAATCTGAAACTGTCTGACTGCTGCTTGAAACTCCCCGGCTACAAATCCCATAAAACACTAAATCAGATACTGATAACTAATCTCAGGGTAAAATGACTATTTTACCCCTGGTCAAAGTCAACTTTCAGTTGACCGGACTCGCCGAGTTGGGCCGCCAACTCGCCGAGTCCCTATCATCCTTTCTAATCTTCTACCCGCTTCTACTCGTCGAGTTTGGCAAAGGCTCGACGAGTTCTTCTTCGATACTATCATCTAGTTCATCTTCATCTGACTCGCCGAGTTGTATGAACAACTCGTCGAGTCCTCCTTCATCCTATGAATACGATCAGTCCTTGACTCGCCGAGTTATATGAACAACTCGTCGAGTTCCTCCACTACTAAATCTGAGCCTTAACTCACTGAGTCTATGTCCTACTCACTGATTCCACCTTAAACTCTCAAATGGAGAAAATCGGGGACTCGCGACTCGACTCTTCGAGTCTGAAGAACGACTCGCCGAGTCTCATGCATGTCATTACTAAACAGTCGATTCTGCTCGAATCCAGTGCATTACATTCATAGATCTGGGCTCCTAGGGCTGGTTTTTCACGTAAAGTTTCTAACTTTACGTGCATGCATGCTAATATGAAGCTTAAAATCCCAAAACAAGCTAAAGGAAGGGATCTAAGCTTAGGATGGAAACTTGGCTCAATAAAGGTGGCAACCTTGAGCTTAAGAGGCTCTGGAAAGCTTAGATCTGAAGTCCATTCATCATATTAACACTTAATTCGACCTTAAAGTCTAGAAAGGGCTCAAAATCCACAAAAGTAAACTTCTCAAGAGATCTAATTGATAATAAGCAAAGATTCGAGCTTGATACCTCAAAGAGGACTGAAATGCAACCAGAAATCGGATCTACTTGCTTCCCTTGAATACTTCTCTTTTCTCTTCTTCCCCTAAATCTCTAAAATGCACAAAAACTTCACAAGTGAGAAAATGCTCCAAAAATGCTTAAGGACGGCTAGGGTTTCATATGGGACTCTTTGTGGGTGAGGGAGGCTGGTCTTGGGGCGCATAAGGTGATTAAATAGGGTGCAAACCCTTGAAATTAGGGTTTCATCCAGACTGGCAGACTCGTCGAGTCCGGAATATGGACTCGTCGAGTCGCCAACTTAAATCGCGTGCAACTCCCGACTCTACTCGACGAGTCGGGCTACTGACTCGTCGAGTACCTCTTAAGGAAATCAAAACTACTTATTTAAATCACATACCAGAAAATGGGGCGTTACAATTCTCCCCCACTTATCTTAGACTTCGTCCTCGAAGTCTGCTGCTGCATCTATAAATATCTCTGGGTAATGCTCCCTCATTTCTTCCTCGGCCTCCCACGTCCATTCCGAACCCTTCCGGTGCTGCCACTGTACTTTCACTAGCTGGACTACCTTGTTCCTCAAGGTCTTCGTTTTCCGATCCAAGATCGCAACTGGCCTCTCAATATAATTCAAGCTGCTATCAACCTGAATATCCTGCAAGGGGACTACTGCTGACTCGTCCACCAAACACTTCCTCAACTGAGAAACATGGAAAGTGTTGTGGATCTGGATAAGCTCTGCTGGAAGATCCAACCGATAAGCAACCCCACCCACCCGGGCCAAAACCCTAAAAGGAACAATGAACCTGGGGCCCAGCTTGCCCCTCTTCCGGAACCTGATAACACCCTTCCAGGGTGATACCTTCAGGAGGACCATATCGCCCACCTAAAACTTCAAATCTGAACGCCTCCTGTCGGCGTAACTCTTCTGCCGACTCTGCGCAGTCTGCAGTCTACTACGGACCTGCTGGATCAACTCCTGTGGTCTTGAGTACCACCTCTGTACTCCCCATGACTCGCTGACCGACCTCACCCCAACACATTGGGGTCCTGCACTTCCTCCCGTAGAGCATCTCGAAGGGAGGTTGGTCTATACTGGAGTGATAGTTGTTGTTATACGAAAATTCCGCCAACGGAAGATACGTATCCCAACTGCCACCAAAATCTAATACACATGCCCGAAGCATGTCCTCGAGAGTCTGAATCGTCCTCTCGCTCTGTCCATCCGTCTGAGGGTGGAAAGCGGTGCTGAAATGGAGACGAGTACCCATCTCGTCATGGAACCGCTTCCAAAATCTGGAAGTAAACCGGACATCCCGGTCCGATACTACTGATACAGGCACCCCATGTCGTGCCACTACCTCGCGCACATAGATATCGGCTAGCTTCTCGGCCGATATGCTCTCCTGAATCGGTATGAAATGCGCGCTCTTGGTCAGCCGATCCACTATGACCCAAATCGATTCGACTCCACGTGCGGTCCTGGGAAGCTTAGTGATGAAATCCATGGTGATATCCTCCCATTTCCACACGGGAATGTCTAACGGCTGCATCTTGTCGTGGGGTCTCTGATGCTCCGCCTTGACCTTCCTGCAGGTCAGGCATCTCTCCACGTACCAAGCTACGTCCCGCTTCATGCAGGGCCACCAATAATCGGGTCGAAGATCTCTGTACATCTTCGTCGCCCCTGGGTGAATGGAGAACCGAGACTTGTGGGCCTCATCCATCAGTACCTGCCGTACTCCTCCCCAGTATGGTACCCAAACTCTCCCATGAAGGGTCAACAATCCTCGACTGTCATAGTCAAAGGAAGCTACTCGGCCCACAATCCTTTCACACTTCTGCTCTCCTCCTTCAGCCCTCAACCTGAGCCTCTCTGATCTGCTCCAACAATGGAGTAATCACTGTCATCCTCAGACATACATCCCTGATCGGGGCTGCTACCTCCTTGCGGCTCAAGGCGTCGGCCACTACGTTGGCCTTGCCCGGATGATAAAGGATCTCACTGTCATAATCCTTTACCACGTCCAACCATCGGCGCTGCCTCATGTTCAGATTCGGCTGATCCATGAGGTACCTCAAACTCTTGTGATCTGTGTAAATGATACAGCGGACCCCATAGAGGTAATGTCTCCAAATCTTGAGGGCGAACACCACCTCCCCCAGCTCTAAATCGTGTGTCGGATAGTTAGCCTCGTGAGGCTTCAACTGTCTAGAGGCGTAAGCTATCACATGGTCTCGCTGCATCAAAACCGCTCCCAAACCTATGATCGAAGCGTCACAGTAGACTACAAAATCCTCTATTCCCTCTGGCAGGGTGAGAATCGACGCCTCGCACAATCTCTGTCTGAGGGTCTCAAATGATGCCTGCTGCTCAGGCCCCCAGCGAAACACCACCGACTTCTTGGTCAATCGGGTGAGCGGAACTGCTATCTTGGAGAAATCCTGGATAAATCTCCTGTAGTACCCTGCCAGTCCTAGGAAGCTCTGAATCTCAGTTGGAGACCTCGGGACCTCCCACT